ATTAAAAAGATAATAACATGCCATTTTTCATATCTGATGTATTATCAACCTTGGTCGATATCAGCCCTCGAGCCGTCGGCTTTGTGCTCATATCTTTCACCTAGGGATTGTTATACATCTTATATTAAAACAGTCATGCAATATTTTGATACAGTTCCAAATTAATTAGAATGCCTCAAGGGAACAAACTTTTCGCAGACACTGCGTTGATTAAATAAGTGAGCGGAGCTTATAATTCTATTATGTTAATACCTTATGTTTGCTCGTACAAAAATTGGAAAGATCTGGAGCCAAGTAAGGATAGTATAGTTTTGAATTGAGCATTCAATGTAATACTATTATATATATTTATAATCTCTCAAATTTAAAGCTTTAAGTAGTGCAACCCGTCCATTTAAGTGTTAGGTTTTATTGTAAACTTATTTTATTTCAGCGTATTTGTTCCATTTTTTGATAAGTACTATGGCATGTGCTACAGATTCCCACCAGAACCAATCACCACGAAACGTGCAGGGCCACTATTTGGTAAATGTAGTTTTTTGATACATTTTTTTAACCCAGATCTAAGTAAAATTCTTAAATTCTTTTTTTCAAAAATAGATGATTAAAAAAAAAAAGATCATGAAAAGGGATTATTTTTTAAACTTGTTTTCCATTTTTGACAAACAAGATCTTTACTACTTTGTCGATATTTTATTACATTTAGTTAGTGTAAAATTGTAGTGACAACAAGTGGAATATTTTTCCAATAAAGAATGATTTATATTATTATCTCAAACTACAAATATATTATATTTTCTATATGTTTTAAGCTTTACAGCTGATAGTCAACGTAAATCAGAGCGATTATGTCCCATACATAGCTTCAGAAGCTGGTATAAGATTGTCGATTCATGAACATGGTTCTCAGCCTTATTTAGAAAATAATGGTATCTCTGTTGCTACTGGATTTAGAACTGACATTTCTTTAGTTCAGGTAAGATTTAATCTAGTTACTGTTCCCACCCATAGATAGAAATATTTTATAGTTGTTGGAAATATGTGGTGACACATGACATCTGTAGTCTTCTTTTTTCGGCAGAAGTATTGTTATGCCTTCTACGTCAAGTGTATTGAAGCGAAGTGTGAATTCGAAAACTGTGGTTTTCTTGTTTTTCGTGAAAATGGCTAAGATGCTTTTGCTAATATAAATTTTGTTTTTGATAATGATTTAAGTCAGTGTCTGTCTTATAAAACTACATATTTATAATAAGTGTATAATAATTCATTTGTACTGGAAAAAAAGTCCGTTTAATTCAAGAAAGACAAAATTACAAGCTGTTTTTCGACTAATTGTAATGGAAATCCCGTTTGTGTATATGTTTATGTGTCTTTCATCTACTACGGGTTATACTTACATGATTTCAACATTAGATTTTAGGGTAGAGATACATTCAAACTAGACGCAATATAAGTATCAAAAGTAAAACAATGTTACGAGACAATCAAGACCTGCATTTCCTACAAAGGCAAACAAAAAAAAAAAGGAAAAGCAAATAAAAAAACAAAAACAAAAAAGGAATTATATAAAAATAATACATAGCTGAGAGGGTGATAGAGCAGATTGGTACCCCGAGAAAACGTTGTCAACCGGGGCGAAGCCAGGGTTGACAATGCTTTTGAGAGGGGTACCAATCTGCTCTATCACCCTCTCAGCTATGTGTTACTTAATTTATTATACTGAATGTCCTTTCATTATTGTCTTTTACAGTTGATTTTTAAATTCAAAACATTTTACTTTTACATAACAACGTTACGGGTATTCGAAATATCAACAGAAGTGAAACAAGATGTTTTATTTTTTTATTTTGAAAATCAACTAAAAAATTCTGTGCAAAAACGTTGAACTTAAGCATTGTCCAATTACTTGATGTAAATTCAATTCATTGTCCTTTAAATTGTCGATTTTTTATTGGTCTTCCCAAGAGGGTGACATTCAAAAAAATTGTCTCCCGCTCAGCCATGGGATAGAGCAAATTGTCTCCCTCCTATTAGCCAATCAAAATCTGGACTTTTAACGTGAAGTATAATAAGTGCAACAAAAACAAACGCCAACATACATAGAAACGGACTATTTAAAAGCGATTGTTTTTGATAATAGGTCATATTAAAAGAGATGCAAATGATACCAAACTGACATTCAAACTCATCATTTGAAAATAAACCGACACCGTCTAGGCCCAAAAAAGAAAAAGACAAACAGACAAAAACAGTACACGAAACAACATAGAAAACCAAAGATTAAGCAACACCCATCAAAAACTGCGGGTGATCTCAGTTGCTCCGGAAGGATAAGCAGATCCTGTTCCTCATGTGGTACCAGTCGTGTTGCTTATGTAAGTACAAACCCGGTGATATGTCCAACTCGGTAGGTCACATTCGGAGAAAGGGAACGAGATAGTTACGACAATTGGAACATATCCGCCGTCCTCTGTGAAACAGATATTTCATAACGGTGAACCAACTCGTGATGGCGTCAGTAAAATTTGCGAAGGGGTGATTTCAACTTCACTACTTCGAAATCTTGGTTTAATAGCTTCTTTGTGAGGAGCAAACCACTGTCAATGAAATCAGATAGGAAACACATGCTTTGGAATATCAACTGCGCTGTTGAAATGTTGTTACATAGAAATGGAAGCTTTGAATTGACAATTGGGAAGCTGAAAACATCTCTTGATAAAAGTTTTGTTCTCAACCGACCCCCATTGCCAATGTCATTGCATTTCTAGATGTAAATCGAGATAAAGGCAGACTTAACGGTATCTGTTATATCCTTTATCTCAAGTTCGATGGGATACATGCGTTCAGCATAGTCACCAATTATTCAGTGAGAATACATCATTTATACCGCAAAAAGTGAAGTTAAAGGATACTACTTACGTCTTTTCTTTCTTCCTAAGAAGTTTCTGTATAAAGTCAGCCTCATATAAATTAAGGAACAAGTCGGCAAGAGGAGGGGCACCGTTGGTTATCATAGGAATGCCGATTGTTTTCTTGAAAAACAAGTCCTCCAATCGTAACAAATATGTTGTCAAACTAGAAATCAAGCATCTTCATAATTTAAAATTCCAACTACACCGATTTATTTGTTTGTTTTTTTTTTGAAAGAAAAAAATTGAAAGAATGCCTGGTACAACAGTGTGTGATGCAAGCAACAAATTCAGTAACATTAATGTAAGTCAATCAATTGTATAATATTGGTTTGTTAACACATCGTGGCAAGGGTAATTGCGCATTACTTGATTACGATATACGGTATTGGCAGTGTAACATATACATGATATAACTGTTCTTGTAATCAGTTTAGTCTTTCAAAGATACACACAGGGTTAAGATACTAGTAGATAAACATCGTCATAGATTATTTGTATGTGTACTCCCCCTTTTAACAATTGATAAAACGTCAAGTTACCTTTCGGCATTTCAAAGACAGGACAGAAATGTGACCGTAAAAGGTAATTGTCTGTAAGGGAACTATTACCATTTTGAACCTGCTCGGATAGAAGTGTAGTACAGCAAAGCAAGGAAATCAAATATCCACAAAAATACAAATTTTCGTCATATACTTTCAAAAAATTAAAAAAAAATTGTCAATGTGATAAAATCATACCATTAAAAGGGTGGTTGGGGGATAAAAATATGGTCACTCCAACTGGCAGTAAAACTCTCGCCAAAGTTGGCTTCCGTTTGGCTGTGCGGGATGTACAAGATCGCAGTCATGTCCGGTCAGAATGGGGACGTTAAATCCGATGCCATGTTTAAAGAGAGTGTCATGCTCTTTGCACGTTACGAACTCTTGCAACAACTCTTCAAAGGGTTCGTAGGTAGCCTATTGTAAGGCTTAATGTCTGTCCCTGTCCGATATACCTTAATTTCACCTTGGCAGTCTAAATTTCTCCGACCTTCATCCCGGACGGCCTCTATTACATGACCTGTGAACTGTATTTATTGTTAATTTGTTCTCTTTCTGGACTTGTGTAAAGAAATATGGTCATTCCTTGACATTTTCTGTTCCGGCAGTTAAACAGTTGCTAATGTTGGGCGTCCATCTAACTGTGCGGGATATATAAATTTGCACCACTTCCAATCGGAATGAGGATTTTAAATCTGACACCTCCTGTTTATGGTTAGAGTCACCCTATTTTAATGTTTACGAATAATTGCAAAAACACTTTCTGAAGGGTTCCTTTATGGTCTGTTCTAACCAACATGCATTTATATTCCAGTTGCAGTAAATATTTTCCGCCCTTTATCTGGCTCGTCCATCCTGCAGAACCCACCAATTATATTATCATTAATGTGTTCTCGTCCTACAGATGTCTAAAATAATTGACGCTGGACGAAAATAAACTCATAATAGATATCAAGGTTAAATTCTTTACGCCAGACGCGCTTTTCATATCCACATGACTCATCAGTAACGCTTGATTAAAAAAAAAAAACAAAAAAAAACCGCCAAATAAAGTGCGAATTTGAAGAGCATTGAGGACACAAAATTCCAAGTAAGCATGTTATAATTAATCAATCAATCAATCAATAATATATCACACACTTTTAATGTATCACTGACAATTGACAAATTTCATAACGAGTTTCCGACCTGGAAATTTATTATTGGAGATAACTTTGGAATCATTTGAGGTGTTGTCATGTATAACAAAGGATGATTATCTTTTCGATACGCCTGTTTGTAGTTTACTGTTATGGAATTTTCCTGTCTTTTGCATACACGTGGTTTGTTTTGTTTAATATCTATTGACTGTCATTATATTACGCCCCATATTTACTTTCTTTAAATGAATTAATACTCCCAATAAAATGACTTGAAGTTAAAGTATTTCGACGACAAAATAATTATGAAAGAATAACATAATAGAAATTGTTTAAAAGTGTTCAGACAAAATTGTGTGTTTATAAATGGTGTAATGCACTTAATATTTATATGCTTTATGTAGGCTTGTTTCGAGGAATGTGTTGAACGGAATGTAAAAGAAAAGTGCAACTGTCTGCTGACCTTTCCTAATGACAAGACTAATTTATACACCTGTACAAGACAAGGTATCGATCTTTAATGATAAAATATGAAAATATCATCTGTTAAAAAACAAATTTTCAATAACATTGACACTTTCCAACTGTGCAATTTGTAGGATTGAAGTAAGAATTAGCCGAACATTAAGTATTAGATACACTACAAAGGTAACAAAGAAACAGGCCGGTAACAACCGTTGCCGTATAGTTGTAACTAGATATATATAGGCATATATTTTGGATTTGTTTTAAAAATGTCATGCTTGTAGGTTTTTCTATATGTGTCTAATAGTATTGGTCAGGAATAAACACGTGTCACAATATGATCCAATCGCAGCTTACCGTCCAAAATTGATGACATAAGTTGAATGATTTTCATCAAGATTTTCTGCCTATTTGAAGATGTATTACACGGACACTTTTTGTCTATAGGATCAATCGTGCATTGGAGAGTTGATAGGGATTTTATCTTTTGATTAGATTTGATTTTTTATATATATTTCCTGTCTTTTTTATTGAAATATAAACGTCGGTTCCAGCATTTCTTTACTTTCAGCATTGTCCAGAATACTATTCATGTCCTTAAATTGAATTAAAATCAGATAATCAGGAATCAGAACATATTATTTTGTCAAAATATATTTTTCTCATAAAATTAGGGATCAGAATATGTTTTAGGAAAAAACCATAACCCCCCTTTTTAAGTTAAATGGTCAATCCCTTAGTGTACTGACATGAATAGTAATTTACTGGAATTGTTGGAAAAAAATATAGTTATTGATGCCAACGTAAATATTATAATAAAAAAGGCAGGAAATATGTCGGTGAAACAAAATGTTCAAATCTAATTGAAATTTAAAGTGCCCATGAACTCACTGATCATGCACGAGTGATTCTATTCATTAAATTTGGTCCGTGTAACAACTAAAACGTGTCCGTGTATCATCTAAAAAGTGTCCGTGTAACACCCGTTAATGTACTGTATTTTTATAGCTCTGCTGGGGGCAAAGTCGTACAAAAATGTCTATGACATTTCTTCAGTTGTTTATCTATACACGTTATAAGGATATTACTCAGGTAGATGAGCCAGATCATTTTAAAACATTATAACACTTTTGGTATCGACCTATCTGATTGTTAAGCCACTGGTTGCTAAAACACGAATACGATTATTCCTGAACGGAACACACGCAGTAGGGAACGATAGCGTTTAAACAGATCGGTACAAAATTAAGGAAATAATTCATTATATTGTCACCTTGATAGCATAGTTACTTTATGACAACAGATACTTATCTGCATAGCTTTGAAGATAATTCATAATCTAAAAAGAATTTCGTTTGAATCAGAAGCCATTTGGAATAATTTCGAAGATATGGAAAGAATATTCAATTGTTTCGTTTAGGCTCAAAGGAGGGAGTTTTGTGAAATAAAAGGAGCCATTCGTTTTTAGATGAGTGACGAATAATTTAAACTCAAACAAATAGAAGCTGAAAAACTGCGTTTTCAAAATGTTTTCCTGAAATTTCATCTCTTGTCAGTCGCTCATTGTTCATGAAGAAACTTAACGAAGTATGAAGATAGATTCAGGAAACAGTTGCCGACAAAAATGCCCAAACTATCCCTTGATCAGAATAATTCAAACAATTGGAAGCTTCCATATCATGAAAGAAATAAAACTTAACTTTTTAGCAATGTCCATTAAAATGCAGCAGCGCTACCACGTGAAGGAAACTCGGATGTGAAAATAAAGTCTTCACATTTATCTTGAAATTTTGATAAACGATCATCGGTTTTAGTCTAAACTAGTAGGAAAATGTTATCGGCATTTCTCTACGAAAGAGTGAATACAGAAGCATAGTCCAAACTTGTAACAAAACATGCAAAATGTTATCGGCATTTCTCTACGAAAGAGTGAATACAGAAGCATAAGCAAACATATAATTCATTGCAAGTATCCGTCTATTACAAGATATTTTTGGTTTATGGAGAATGTTCTATCGATTTTTATTGTTCCGTACAATTTTTTGGCATATATTCAATACGGTTCCTCCCATCCAGTGGCCCTATCAAAGGAAGATTTTCAGTGTCAAGTAACGTCTTCTGTGAAAGTTTTGTGTGTTATGTGCAATCGCAAATGAAGTTATAAAAAGTATTTTTGTATGTTGTAACCAAGTTAACACATCGATTTTTAAAATGGAATCAAAAACTCCTACTAAGCCCTGAACCGTTTACAATTCAGTTGGAGTTGTACATGTTGTACACATCCTTATCTACTGATTTTATAACTCTTTTGTTCTATTGTCTATTCCAATTTCACATGTGTACCATCTGGTATACCATCTAAGGGCCGTTTGCTAAACAAATTCTAATATATTCCAATTCCGCATACGAGGAAATTCAAGAATACAAATCATGACTAATGCCGGAATAGTAATTTTTGCAAATATTCAAATGCTACAGAAGTTCTATGAATGTTGAGAACTTGCAATTTCATTTTTTCTTGATTTAAATCTAGCGAAAATAGATATGATTCCAAAGAAATGAGACACATCTTTCATGTGTCTAAAGAGAGGGTCGTAAAAGTCTATCCCCCTAAAACAATCGTTCGATGGCAAAACACAACCAAGAAAACAAATGACATAATGGAAAAATTTCATCCTGCATTACCAATACATACACACCATCATTCCTTAATATATCTTACTAATGAAGATGTTAATCAAATTGAACGTCTTCATTTCGTAGAATCTTTCATTAAGCATGAAATACTTCCATTTCGATTCATCCACAGGAACGATTATAAAAGAATAATTAAATTGATTAACAATTTCAACGGTTGGCAATTCTGAGGCTTAATTTTGTTTTATGTAGCTCCGTTTGTGTTATGAATTAATGAAAACAGTTATGAAAAGCTGATTGATTATGCTATGCATGCATGTCATACCTTTTAACATATAAAATAAAATGCATTATGTTGTGCGGCATTGCTAACTCATGTTAGTACTAGTAGTTTCAAATTTTGGCAATGTACTCTCCTGTTCTTTTAGAAGAAGTTTTGCAGCGTTTAAGTATCGATTCCAATTAGTATGATGATTAACGGTCGGGTTTACATGCACATTTTTACTTCCTCTAAAGTAAATTAAATTGTAAATATGAATTATTGGTATAGCTGATCTTAAAATAATAACATGTATACGTTCAGACTAGCTAACTTAATAACTGTTTGTAAGTTTTGGGATAGCTACTCTTGCAAAATTATGTTGTTTTTTTTTAGACTTTGATTGCATAGAAGATGTCCATGAAAACGTAACTGGATGCAAATGCCTAAATCCTTGCAGGTAAATACGAGACTTTCCATAAAAATGACCAAGAGCAGTATCAATGAATCGATTTAGGAATTAAAGAATTTGTTCAGACAGTACATTTTGCATTTATACAGAAAGCTCTTCTCTCAACAGTCCTTGCTCGTTTATTTTGAATACAAATATCTGTTGTATGATAAAATTATTGTTGAGAATGTAATTACTGCGATGATAGGACGATATATAAAAGAGGAACACAAATATGAAGCAATTTTATGTGTTTGAAGACTTTTGTTTATTTCGTTTTCTTCGAATTTATTCATTTCTTTTAAATATTGTAGTGAAAAAAGACACGCGATGACAATTTCGACCACTAGGTGGCCAGCTGAAAACTATGAAGATTTACTGGAAAAAATATTGAAAAATAAAGGACTATCTTTCTCAAATGCAAGGTAAAGAAAGACAAATAAATTTATGAGAAAACTTAAAGGTGTGTCATCGATCCTAGTTTGAATTCGTCTATCTGACAATATAAAAAAGAAGATGTGGTCTGATTGCCAATGAGACAACTTTTCACAAGAGACCAAATGACACAGAAATTAACAACTATAGGTCATCATACAGCCTTCAACAATGAGCAAAGCCCATACCGCATAGTCAGTTATAAAAGGCCCCGAAATGACAAATGTCAAACAATTCAAACGAGAAAACTAACGACCTAATTTATGTTCAAAAAAATGAACGCAAAACAAATATGTAGTAACACAGCAACAAACGACAACCACTGAATTGCAGGCTCCTGACTTGGGACAGGCACAAACAGAATGTGGCGGTGGTAAACATGTTAGCGGGCGCCTAACCCTCCCCTAATCTTGGACAGTGGTGCAACAGTACAACATAAGAATAAACTACATGTATAAAAATCAGTTGAAAAAGGCTGAATCAATATCAGGAACATTACAAGGCAGACGTGCTATTATCAGATATCATTAATTTCAGATTCACTGATATATATGAGATTAAATTACTCATGAAATACGGTTATTGAGTAACAGAACATCATAAATATACATAAAATGATATAAATGAATTTGGTAAAATGCGTTTCTTTTATAATATTTTTATCACCTCTGCATGTTTTAAGGATGTACAAAACACATCAGTCATTGGGGTGTTTACGTTATGATACCTTATACAAAGACCAACCATGTATTGTTTTAACCAATGCCATAATTCAAAATAAGCGAAGCATATTAAATGGTTTGATCCAAAAGATGACAAAGCATAACATCATGACAATTTAAATGTATGCTTTTAACTTTGCCATTATTTGTATCATCTCATGCATGGTTAATTGTCTTTTTCAAAAATTTATTTTGTTAAGTATTACTTACCCACGGATTTTTACAGGAGAACCACATCATTTGTCCTAATAGAGAAGGAACTGCTCACCTCTCCATGCTCAATTTCTAGTGCGCTATATAGTAGTTTGTAGACAGGTTTATTCTCTGTGTGTATTGCTCTTTTGTAACTTATCTGTCATATTTATCTCCGGGTATTCCTGCTTCTTCCGCCAATAAAAACTGAACGTCACGAATTAGCACAATTGTATTGAAAGTGGCGTTAAATACCAAACAATCAATCAATATTGATCTTTGGTATCGTATCTGATCTTTTTCTTAAAGAAATTGCTATCTAGATGGTATTTATTAATGAGAAATTATTCATGATTGACTTAAACTGAAAAAAATATCTTTCAAACATTTAATAGACACTTGAACGACAAGTTAAACAAATTAAAACATAACTAAATTTGTATTCTTTTCGAATGTTTTTTTTTTTTTTTTTTTTGTTGTTTTTTTTTTTTTTTTTGGGGGGGGGGGGGGGGGTGTATAAATACACATCCACGTTTATTTTCTATATAGACATTACTTTATCTATATATAAAATCCTAACAATCCTACTGTCTGTCGATACTTTTCTTGTGACATTGCACAAGTCATGACTTCTTTGACTGTCCATGACGTTAAAACATTACTTCCCAGGGATGTGTTTTAATTGATTTTAGTCACTTATGCATGAGTTTTTATTATTAATTGTTTTGGGCTTTTTACTAGCTTTCAGTAACTGCGAGTACTCTCCATTCGTACTTTCGTGTTAGTTTGACCTGTTGACACAATTTGTAATGCATGTTTGTTATTCAATATTTACTTATTTTGTGTTGTATCTCGTCTCACTATTTTAAAGATGTACCACCTTTGATTTAGTATGACGATAAATTTTCCCTTCTGTACTCGTACTATGATCAACAAATTTAATTATTTTGTAAAAATATCTCCGTACTCCTAACAACAAAATTATTATATTTAACTTTACCTGTGTACGTTATTTTATTTAACGCCATTTTGTCAAGGGTAGAATTGTCTTGTTTTTTTTTAAATTGTATTTATATTGTGTCATAGATCAAATTTTTATATCGCGTCATAGATCAAATTTATTCGTTCAGTGTATGTTTACTTGTTTTTGTTAATATGTCTATTTGATCTAGTAAAGCCATTTCAATTGATATTTTATATTGTGTCTTTCTATGTTGTAATGTTACACTATTGTTTCAGGTTAGGGTGATAGTTGGCGTCTGTTAAAACGTTTAAACCCGCTGCATTTGTTTGCACATGTCCTAAGTAAGGACCCTGTTGATCTAGTTCATAAGTGTTTCTCGTTTCTCGTTTTTTATATAGATTAGACAGTTGGTTTTTGTGTTTGAATTTAACCTATAATTGTTCACTTTTTACACATTGTGAGTTTGATGGAGAGTTGTTTATTTGGCACTCATACCACATCTTCTTATTTCTACTTTAAAGTTTCTTACATCCACGTCATTTCGTCTCTGATGGATATGTATGGCATTAACAATCATGCAACATCTTTTGTTTTTGTATACAGTATTTATTTGATAGATTTTTATAATGCCTTTTACAGTGAATGTACAAAATATATATATATATTATATATTATATATATATATATATGATAAATGTTTACATGTAAGTTTCGTTTTGATACGGGAAATAATAGGTATGCTTCATATTTTATAGAAACAGTTTGTTGCAAATAAGTATATACTTTTCGTCGCTATATGAGGAAGTTACAGAAGAAATACCTTCAATCACGGTAAGACATTCGTTCCGTGTACTCATTTGTTAAGAATAAAAACAACAATTTATGAATTACTTTTGGTCGAAGCGCTTTAGTAGATTTTACTATCATCAGGAACTGTCTAAGGCTAGGTTCCAGGATTTTATAAATGCGTAGAAACCCCAGGAGCTAAATTACCAAAAATAATCCAAAGAGAATAGAGAAATTCATCTAAAGTCAACTTTGTCTGAGGGCACCTTAGTTTATTAATAATTTCTTAATGTATCAACGGGGAGTTTAAACGGGAATATTTCCTAAATCATGTCATTTTCATAGTATTGACTAAATAACAGATATTACCCTCTGATGTTTCTTAACAGCATATTCAATGAATTTTAAGAGCAATTTAAGTTTTTTAAGTGAGGAACACCTAGATTGAAATGAAAATGAGATGCGGAGGATACAAACATGACAAAAGGAAAAATCAAAATGCAAATGTAAAAGAAAACCAACTGACGACTCAATGACAGGAAAAAATAAACAAAAAACCAACAAACACAATATATACATAGAAAACTAAAGATCGAGCAAAACGTACCACACCAAACATAATGTGTGATCACATTATCTTCTGCAGGATGAACAAATCCTGCTCTTCATGTAGCACTAAACGTGTTGCGCATTATTATTAAAACGTTGGTGATAAGTTACATTACAATAGATCAACCAACTCAATATATCGTCCGTAAAACTTTCAAACGGGTTAATTCATCTTTACCACTTAAAATTAACCTATGTGAAATACATGTAGCTTCTTTATATGCAGTAACACTTTATTAATTACCAGGGGGATCATTATAGAAAATACGTCGAATTTATTTTGTTTTATCTAGCCTAGCATTGTATTTATACGTTCGACAGCTATTTTGCTAGCTCTTAACATACTTTACGGGAAAAATTATTATAAACACACAAAAACAGATGATTTTCTTCTCATGATACTACAACTTCGATCAATTATTATTATTTTTTTTATTTATTATGTATGAATAGCAGGACATTCTATAAAAGGAATTTTTTTTGAATTCTGCATAGGTCAATATAATACTTTATTATATACTAAGTAGTAAATACAGGTAAACTGTATGTGTAATACCATTGATGACAATGGTGCTGTATCAACCATCCGTGATGATATCGATATCAGTCACGGTTGCAAAGGCTTTATCAAACCTCTAATTTTGTATGACGTCACGTAATCGATAACAGTCACGGTTACAAAAGCGTTATCAAACCCCTAATATGTATTACGTCTCGTCTCGTTAAAAATACATAAGAGAGATTAGTTGTATTTGAGGTACATGTATATAATAAAGTGTATATGATATGGCTTTTTCAATATCACACACCGTATCAACCCTCAACCCTCAGAGCTCTTTGGATTATATTATTGGTGTCTCTAATTGATATAGGTGTGATATTGAAAAAGCCATATGATATTCTCTATATAGCTACTCCTTAATCAATATTTTTTTAAGTTCGTTATTTACTACTTAGTATAATTTTCAAAACGAAAGTTTGATATTCGTTATTTGCATTTTGATGTCCACAATTTGACAGCAATTTTAATTATTGTCCAGATTCCGTAAGAGCATTTTGATAGATTGCTGTTATATTACTTAATGTTTATTAATTGCAGTTTGAAAGTTTTCTATCAAATATAGGAGGATCTCTTGGTCTATGGATTGGAATGTCCGCCATTAGCATCGGAGAGTTGCTAGAATTGTGTTTCTTTCTCCTGAGAAGTATGAAGAGACACAAGAAAGTCACAGAGCCCCAAACTGATGTCAACTTAAATGACACTGTAGAAACTTTTATAATCTCTAACGACACAATGAACGAGAAAAACGCACAATTTGCCCTTGATAAGCAACCTTTCGAAGGGAAGAGTGGTATATCAAACGATCAAGTCGAATATAGTAATAGAAAACCAGAACCTTACTGATAATATACGTCTATTATAAGTCTGTATATAATCATGCACTTACACTGTTAGATTTACACTGTATGCTGTATCGTTTTGATTACTGTTTATTTTCGCGGAAACTTATTAAAGAGAATAGCGGATTTACATGTTTTTTGTTTTGTTTGTTTTGTTTGTTTTTTTTTTTTTTTTGTCATTTCCAAATTCCCTAAATATAAGAGAAGAGCAAAGCAAGAGATTATTTCGATGGTTTTCACTCTATAAAATTGCGTAGATAAATCTCTTTCAAAAATTAGTTGGTAGTGTTCTGATTGAATTACTCAAATAGCTACATATCATGCTATGACGGAGTAGACTACATTGAATCTTTGGATCCATATTTTTGTCATTGATAACACAACTTTGGAAAATTTAACTACCCTTTGTAAATTAGGCTAAACCATACGAATATTCAATAAAAGGAAACATTATAACTATCACACAGGTTCTTTTTGAAATTTTTACAAGTAACTGGCATCAATTAATTACATGAACACACTTGGAAATGTAAATTATCAAAGAGGTTGAACTGGAAACTGCATTTCGTTTGGGCGCATTGGATATATATACATACACAACCCTGTTCGATTGGAATTAGATCATAAAAAACACAATGGTTCATGTTGAGGCTATTTATTGTTTTAAGTTACTATTTGCAAGATGTCAGTATATACATGAACACAATCTATTCATTCAGTCAATGGAAGTTGGAATATTACAGCGTTCGTATATCTCAGCATACCCAGTTTGCAGAAAGTATACATAAAATAATGAATGTGAAGTTAGCAGCCGGTTCGTTATTCGATATTCGATATTCAATATCCAAATTACCTCATCATAGATACCAGGATTGAAGTTGGACGGCAAACGATTTAATGGCTTCTAAGGTCAAGACATTGGTCACGTGACAAAAGGTCAGAGTTTACGGTGTTTTGGTAAACGTGCACGTTTGGTGGTTTTTTGCCTCGTATCGTCTTATTTGTACTCGTACATCAATAAAAATCAAAGTGTTCAATTCTAGATTGAATAAGCTTCATTATTCTTTATAATTATTATTAAAAAGTGTTGTTAAAGTATTATAAATTCACGAGTGAAGTGAAACTTTTTTTCTGAAAATTTGCGTAGGTCCACGGAAAATCCTTATTTATTCCTTAAATAGGTATGGTAACGTGTTGAGGAGGGGTATAACAGATGAAGCAAAATCATTTTTCACGTTAAATTCTGATGATAATCGATCCTAAATTCACATGAAATTGTGTCAGCTTAATCGTGGTGAAGTGAAGATCAAAGGGAGATAACTCCGTACACGCGTCGTAGGAAATTGCAAGTTCACAACAGTAAATTCGAGTAGAATTAATGATTGTAGTTATATTTCAACACTTTCTTGAATAACCATTCAATATTTCATGTTCCTCTACTCTTGTAACATTAAAATAGTCATGGAATGGTTGAATATGGCATTTTTTCAAGTACCCTAAAACAGGTTTTTGAAAACTTCCAAAGAAGAAAATTATAGATATTAAACTGACTTTTCTCTGAAACTTGGACTTATTTGTATATTCTCAAACACCCTTTTGGTAGATGGAATGATACAAGTCTTTGTTTTACTTTCTTTGTATCAATATTCTTAGAAAGGATATGAAAATAAACTCAGTGTTTGTACATGTTGGTTGTTTATAGAAAAGTTTGTTTAAATATACTAAAATTTCACTCTAAAATTAGACTTGAATTTTTATATTTAAATAAGTATCTAACATAGAAAGTTGTTAATCTGGTGCACTGAAAATGTACCATCAGAAATGAGATTTAACAAAGTTATTTAGACTGAAGTACTTATAGATTGTCACTTTTTATGCTGATCATATGGGGAAAAAAAGAGTGATATTATAAATTCTAACACAGCATCAATTGTGAAATAATAGTTCTCTCCTACATACATTTTATTTTTCAAGATGCGAGGCTTGCCGATCAATTTACATATTTAAGATTTAACTGTTAAGAGTGGAAAAATAACTTATTGACAGAGATTCTGTATGCGAATGTTTCTCTTGATATTTTTAAACAATACATTTATGTTACCAACTACATTGTATCTTTGTTTTTCTACTATGATCTGCAAGGAGATGGGTTCTTTATGTGTGACCACAATGATCGTCAAGCATGATTATTGGTAGCCTTTATTCCTGATGTAACAATGGAAAATTCTGAGAAAAGCAAGAACTTTTAAGCAGATCCAGGTCTTTTATAAAGAGAGGGTGGATTATTCCTAATTTCCATATACAGAAAAAAAACATATTTCATTTCATGCCAAATAATTACATACAAGAGGGGTTTATCAGCCATTTGTCAGCAGAACTTGTGTTACAATAGAATTAACTTTGCATTACATTAAAATACAAAAAAAAGAAAATGTAGACAATACATGCTTCAAAATTATGAACATTGACATTGACATTGAATAAAAAAAAAGTCAATTTGCAGTGGACAGAAGTACAATTTTTTTATTTTTATATTATACCTGCTATAAGATACAGTGGCGGATCTCCCGGGGGTCTGGCGATTGGAATCGCCTCTTTTTATCGACAACCAATGCATTTGAATGGGGACATATAGTTGGAACCCCCCCTCCTCTCTGAAAATTGGCTTGATCCGCCCCCGAGATAAGAAACTATATAAGATGTACAAGTTCCGTTGCTCGCTCTTAATCAAGAGAAAAAATCTGAACATCCAAAAAGCCAGAAAGGGATTTAAAACATTATAATCAACACAAAGAAAACTGAACAAAAAGCTGTATTGCAATCTGATATCATGCAGTTCTCATAATTCCTATTACATGTATTACTTCAAGTTTTGATTTTTTTTCTTATATTTGAATTCAAAAGTCCTACAAACAACTGTTGAGTCCTTTAATTAAATTATTGATTGAATAATGAATGATTAGCTAAGCTGATCTGTAAATAAAGTCTGAAAATGTTTTGTTTAAATAAAAGAGTGTTATTATGTCATAAAATATACTGAATCTACTTCAAATTTAATTCAAATTCATATTTAACTGCTCTAAAATGCATAGTCAATTGAACTACGAAACAAAAACCTGAGACTACTATAACATAGAGATTGGTCACTTCCCATGTTATAGTAGTCTCAGACAAAAACAAAGCTGACTTAAATACATGTACAGTATGTTCAAAAAATTTTTGAAGAATGGACAACAATGAGATATTTATTTTTCTGATATCAGAAAAAATCTCATAGTATCAAATCAGAATGCGAGTTCTTTTTATTGAGATAATTAATTTAATCGCATTATTTACTTTAATAAAAACCTCATGATAATATCTGAATCTACAGTCATGACTTAGCTTGTCAACCTCTACACTTAAAAATTTAAGGTTCCTAGGCCTAAATGTGGTTGAAATACAGACAATTTTGGTAACTTTTACAAAAAAACTCTTTTTTATGACATACATTACAATTTCAGAATAAGCTGCATTAAGTTATATATATGTATCACATATAAGAATGCTAGTTTGTATTAATATCATGATTATCATGATTATTGCAATAAGTTGTTATTATTCAATTAATTAAAAAAAAACATCAATTATTTTTGAATTGATAGATCTGGAACTAGTACATACATTTGTTTTTTTAAACATCTATATACTATTCATTAGGGAACTTATTCAAATATATTTTGTACAAGACAGTCATGGCAGTTCACAATTACAGTGGTCATTATAAACATAATGACACAATTTATACAACCAAATTTTATTGTTGATATATGTAAACTGAAATCATTGCAGAATTTTTCTTTCAAATGATTTAATGTTTGTTAGTCACTTACTTTAAATACTTAACCTGTACTAAAATAAAGAGATGTGGTATGATTGCCAATGAAATAACAGTATAGAAACTATCCACCAGAGTCCAAATGTCTGTTAGCAGTTAAATTGTAAGTTACTTTACAGACATCAACAATGAATACATTTCATTGTTATCAGGCAGATGAGGAAAAAGAGTAATGATAGCTTTTTAGCCTACTACATGTACAAGAGAATATAAGAAATATAATAATATAAATACGGAAATAATAGAGACAAAAAAGACAGGACTTAGCCACTGGACTATATGTAAAGTGTTCCCTTACTAATCCTTAGAGGAGCTGCTGTATACTTAGAAAAACGGATGTTGAGGACTTGGCCACTTCAATCAGCATTTTTAGACACTACATTATGGTCAACTGCAATCTGCCCTATTTGCTCCAACCTCTAATGAGTATTAAAACTAATATTTAGGGTGGGAATTAAACCCATGTATGTTCATTTTCTCTATTGTTCTCTATGTACATACATATACATGTATATGAAATACAGCAAATGCAAAAAATTGATGGAATGTAAATATGGTAATTTACATCATGTACATTATTACAGCCTCATTTTTTAAGGACCTAGTAAAGGAAGTCCCTGGACCTAGATAGACCTATTTCTTAGGCAAGGTGTATTATATAACTCTTGAAAGTAGTAAAATGCAATTGTAAAATTAATTTTATCTGCTGTTAAACAATAATAACACGATAATGGTTATTTCTAAGTATTTAGTAACAACAACGTGCAATTTAGGTAAACAAACATCAATAATCTACCACGTGTTTGTCTGCTGTGCTTGAAAATTCAAAACGCCCCATCAGGTTTATTTACACGAATTTTTGCTAAAGCAGACAGTTAAACATGTCTGTTTACC